GTGCACATGCCATAGGGGTGGGTGACAGAAAGGAAGGGAGGGAGGGAGGGAGGAAAGGAGGGAGAGAGGGAGAAAGAGAAGAATTCATTTTTGAAAATACCATTTTAATTTGTTTTAAAAGAACAGCGTCTGCTACAGATATCTCCTGACCATTGTATTGTTTCAGGAAAGTCTCCCTTGATGAGTCTGGCATCAGTGCTTCCTCTGCAGTGTGCAGATAAGGTCACTTGTGGTCATCCACACAGGCTCTCACCTAGGCACCTGCCTTACTCAAGCTAAGATTACAGCTTTTTGAAAGAAAGGTCTCAAGAAACCTACCTGTTTCAATTTAATATCAGCTTGATGGGAATAAAGAACCCTAGGAGATCAGCAAGGCTCACACCACTGGATGCATCTGTGAAACTGTTTCCAGAGACAATGAGATCATGAAGATTGGGGCCTATCCAATGATGAACTAAAAATGTGAACAGACTATTGATAGATGGTAGATTTATGGATCATTTACTGGGTCATGTCTTTGAAGGTATATGTTGGCCTTAGTCCCTTGCTGTTACTCCTCTCTACTTCCTAGATACCAGTAGGTGAGACACTTAACTTTCCCCTACACTAACTAACCATCATGATGTTTTACTCACCACACACCCAGAAACAATGAAGCCAACCAGCCAAGGCCTGGAGCAGCTGAAACCATGAGCCAAAATGTCTGTCTTCCTTAAGTTGTTTTTCTAGGATTTTTGTCAGAGCAACAAAAAGTCACTAAGAGATTGCCTTTCCTGAGGACTCCAGGCATCATGAGCCTGTTCCTGTAGGACCTGTTTCTTATCTCACTCACAGCCTCACTTGCTAATCTCCCCATTCAGCAAAGTGGAAACCACATTCAGAATAAGAACTGTGTTTCAGTCTCCACATGGACATTCTGGTGCATATTTTTCTATGGAGATAAATAAAATTTACATCCTACTTCAAAGTTCTTCAACATATGTGATTATTTCAGAACAGTTGGAAGTTTATAATATATTCTAATATGCATATATGTCCTATTGCAGCGGAATGCTACAGGAATATATGTGCAAATTAAAATCAAGACACTGAAAGGAAGCATTACACTCTGGATGGCTGCTCACCAACACCTTGCTCACCAACACCTTGCTCACCAACAACCATTAGATTTTCAGAATCAAAGTTCTATATTGATGTCTCTTAACTTATAAGTTGTGTTATAAATCAGGCTCAAAAGAAAAACTACAAAATGCTGGAAGACACAAGCCCCTGGAGTTTGTTTCCTCAAGAAGGAGAAATGCTTGAGGTTGAGTAAACGGATTCACTCCCCCAGATACTGCAAGAAAAAGTAGGTCAAGTCCAACTCAGGGCTTGAGTTTGAGGAAATGGTTCTCAGAACGCTGGAACATTTCAAGCAGGAGATTTAGATTCCCTGGCTGTAGATGGGGTTTTCTGTCCTCTACACAAAGTTCAGTTTTATTTTAAAAACAAACAAAATATTGCATTTATCAGTATTCCCTTAAACCAATGTTCCTCAACCTTTCTAATGCTGAAACCTTTAATACAGTTCCTCATGTTTTGGGGACCCTCCAACCATCACGTTATTTTCATTGCTATTTCATAACTGTAATTTTGCTACTGTTGTGAATTGTAGTGTAAATATCTGTTTTATGACAGTCTGAAGCAAGCCTTGTGAAATGGTTATTCAACCCCTAAAGGGTTTATGACCCACAGATGGAGAACTACTGCTTTAAACAGCAGCAAATACATTGCATATATTCTTTTCTGAGAGTCAGCAAGACCTGTGTATTCATGGGCAATTTTGGCATAAGACTGTATTCAGATTTGGCATAGATCTACCTTTCCTGTGCAGAGGAGATGCCAATTCTGTGTACTTCCAATTGAAATTCTGTGGCCACTGCAAGCTGGATAGAAATGAAAGGCATCTTTCCCTATCATCAAAGTTGGGTCCCTTTTGTAAATATCTTATATCCTTGGATTAATAACTTGAAGCATCCATCTAATCCAGCTGCATGGGTGGTCTGTGTATTTGTTGACTCTTGTGGTTAATCAAAGGGCAAACAGAAAATTTGCAAAATCTTCAAATGTCAGGGAAAGAGAAATATGATGAAAATGGCTTCTGAGAAGCAAGAACTATTACATTACAGAGGCCTTTAAGAAACAGTAGACTAGAGCCAGGGATGGTACCTACACCTGTAATCTCAACACTCAGGCAGCTAATCTAGAGGACTAGGAGCTTGAGTCCAGACTGATATGAAGTGAGAGTCTGTCTCAAGCAAGCAAACAAATAACACAAAAGAAAAAAGAATAGAAAAAAAAAAAACTGAAGACTCTAAAAGGGTCAAATGATATTATTCTCCATAACCAGCAATAAAGTAGACTATTTGATTATCAAGAAGCATGGCTGGAGTACAAAAGATGGCTCAGTGGGAAAAGCACTTGCTACCAGGACTGACAAGAAGAGTTCAGTTCCCTGAGAGCCATATGATAGAAAGAATGAACTGATTCTCAAAATTTGTCCTATAACCTTCATGCTTGCATCATCGAATATGTTCACAAGCATGTGTGTAAGCACACACATGTGCACACATACACACAAAAAAAATGTTTAAGAAAAAATACATGAAACATATAAATGATGCTCTTCCTTTCACATTTTTTAAAGTACACTTTCTGGATGATAAAAATTGCTTCTTTGTTATAAATATTTTTTAATATAGAGGATTTATGAATCTCAATATCTAATGTCATCTGTTGAAATTGAGTTTTTGTTTGTTTATTTCATAAGAGCATAAGATCATTCAAATTATTTTCACTGGACTTGATGAAAAGTAGGATAATTGAATTCAGAAAACTTGATTCCAATTTTAGCTAAATAACCTTCATAAATTCTCTTTTATTTGGGGGTTTCTGTTTGTCAATGAAAAGATCAAGAAACAAAATCATCAATAGCATGAAGAATGGGCAGAAACAGGTACACAGATTAATAGGAGAATGATAGATGAATGGAAAGATGGGTAGATGGGATGAATGTGAATGGACAATGTGTAACTTTTCCTGAGAAGATATAAGGAGAAACCTATTCACCCCAGATATAGCTTAAATCTCATTTAGTGACCAATTAGTTTACTCAGGTTACTTATAAGATTATGCAATGGTATCACTCATAAGTCTCACCCCAACATGGGAAACAACTCACAAAAGCTGTATCACTGGAGTTCTACCCTCAATCAACCTTCCACCTCTTTGTACTGTAGCACCAAGACCACATACAGGTTGGATGCAAAAGGGACTGGAAGACGGGGATCTCAGGTGAGATTCTGACTATGTTTTCCATATGTTTCTAGGAGAGGTGTGAACATCCCTGTTACCATAACCACAGACCTGCTCATCATCACAGTGTTTTTCTCATTTTATTGTCATAAATATGGGTTAGTCTGCAGGCAACCAGGACAATCTCTACTGCATTGCGGCTGATAGCCATATCATTAGTAAGTAACTATACTACATCAGTGGATGATAGATAGAGAGATGATAGACAGACAGACAAACATAGATAGATAGATAGATAGATAGATAGATAGATAGATAGATAGATAGACAGACAGACAGATAGATGATAGACAGGCAGGCAGACAGACAGATACTGTCTTCATAAGAAAACATGTCAATAACTCTTTGGATAGCAAGTTACAAATCTTCAGCATCAAGCAAACCCAAAGTGTTAAATCTATTATTCCTAATCATCAGCTACAAAAAAGGCACCAATTCACTCTTTTTAAAAACGCTTTTAAAAAACAGTTAATTTTAGCCAACTTGCTACCAATGTACATGTTTTGTCTGAAAGATCACTATACATATGACATCATAACCACATCACTTTCAACCCACTGTGCATAATCATCTTCAGGCATGGCTTGTAAGCATTCTTATGGGAATGGGAAGCATTTCCAGTCATGTATTCCTTCTGAGTAAGTCAGTTCTAATCTGTCATCGACTGTCTCTACAGTTAAATTCAACCTATGGAGAGGCAAATGTTCTTTCAGTGGAATGCAAGGGGAAGTGTATTTGAAGGGAGATTTGAATTACCAGAGAATTACAACAATAATTTTATATCATTAAAGGGTCTATTTTGTTTAATCCACATAGAATTGAAATGAATATATACATTAAAAAGGAGAAGAAGAAGAAGAAGAAGAAGAAGAAGAAGAAGAAGAAGAAGAAGAAGAAGAAAAGCATGCATTTTCCACTAAGATAATTTTCAGAGAAAACCAGTAGCAGTCAGACTTGGTGGCTCATGCTTGTATCTAAGTATTTGCAAGGCTGACACAGGAAACTGAAGGCCAGCCTAGGGTATATAGTAAGTTCCAGGACAACATGGCCTATGCAGCAAGACTCCATCTCAAAGGCTTTTTTTTTTCAACTTAAAAAAAGGAAAACAAGTTCCTGGGTGACAGTTCAGCAGTTAAGAGCACAAAATTCTCTTGCAGAGGACCAAGGTTCAGTCCCCAGCACACACAGGGCAGCTCACAACTCCCTGTCCAGCTCTGAGGGATCTGATGCACAATTCTGATTCCTAGAGGCTCCTGCATGCCCCTGTTATATTTATACAAGCACATACACATAATAAATTAATTAATTAATAAAAAAAATTTAAAGAGAGGCTAGAGAAATGCAGTAGTTAAGAGTATACACTGCTCTTATAGGGGACACGAGTTCCATTCTTAGTATCCACATTAGAACATTCACAACTGCCGGTAACTCTAACTCCAGGGGATTCAAAACCTCTTATGGCCTCTGCCGGCATCTGCCCTCATATATACATGCTCACACAAAGAAATATATACCCACAACACACACACACACACACACACACACACACACACACACACACACACACACATACACAATTAAACAATAAAATAAATCTAAAAAGAGTAAAAGAAATACATCAATTTAGTTATTCTGCTCATGAAATCTACCACCAAGGAAGGCTCTGAAGTGAATTCATTTCGTGAATTTTTGTCACTATTCACAAAATGAAATCTCTGGACTTACAAAATATGAAATGTGAGTAAAACCGTTTAAAATGCTATTATGAAAGATATTCTCAAATTCCCAGTTAAGACGTGAGAAAAACAAGCAAAGCAGCATGGGTTAGCATCAGAAGCAAATTATGTAAGTAATTTTTCCAAGGCATGATGTCTGTGCCCTGAGACAAGTCTAAAAATTTGGGCTACTAATGCAATGACCAGTTCTATGTGGTGCTGCAGATGTTACTGTGCAAACAAATGCCCCTAGTCTCTGAGAAGTGAGATTGCAATTACAGGTACTGTAGTCAGTGGACTGAAAGATCACTATGAAAAAAAAAGTAATTGAAAAGAAAAGCAAACATTGACAGTCCAAAACTTGAGAAACTACTCCCGTTTGTGGCATCATTACTCAGTTGGTGTTTTATTGGGCAGCAAGAGATGAAAACTCAATATGCCTCTCAGCCAGCCATTCCTGTTTCTAATTTAGTAGCAACCAGGAAATGACTAACCTCCTCCAAGCACATAAATGAAAGCCATGCAACCACCCATTGTGAAGAATCACCATGTCCTTCTAACATGAGAACTAGAGGTGAGAGCCAGGCAAGCCTATGAGCACCACAACTAACTCCTGGATGCTTCTGGAGGAAGGCAGTGAGCAATGAGGAAGAAGAATGGGGAAAGCTGCCTTATTTGGAAAGAAGAACAAATAAGATGAAAATGAGGTGGTCCCAGAAGCTGTAGACGCTTTTGAGAGTGACCATGAAGTTAGTTTGCAAGGTGAAATCATGGAATTTTTTTTTCATTGCATCTTCTTCCTCCAACTATACTCACAAGTGCCTAAAACAAAAGAGTTAGTGAAAACCTACTATGAAATTGGGTGGGCTTTCAGTGGCTATTCTGGTTTGGTTTTTGTTGCTGTGATAAACACCATCATCAAAAGCAACTTGAGAAGGAAAAGGTTTATTTGGCTTACACTTCCAGGTCCATCACTAATGGACGTCAGGGCAGGAAGTTAAGGCAGAAGCCTGAAGATAGGAGCCGTGGTGGAAAGCTACTTATTGGCTCACTCACTAGCTCTTGCTTAACTAGCATTCTTATACAGTCAAGGCTTACTTGTGTGGGGATGGTGTCACACACAGTAGGCTGGTTCCTCACATTTCAAACATCAGTCAACACACTCTGTCACAGACATAGCTACAGGCCAATGTGACCCTAGCAATTTCCCAATTGAGGTTACCTCTGCTCAGGTGGCTCTGGGTTTGGTCAGGTTGACAACAACCCTAACCAGTACAGCTGTACAGCTATTACTGTAAGATGATCCATGTTGCTTGGAGGTTTGGGGCTTGTTGGTGCAAGGATGGAACCAAAGCTCAGACTGATAACAGAATCTTCAGGATGAACCCAGGCTCTATCTTTGATCTTTGCAAAAAAGATCAAAAGCCCTCCCATCTGGAAGCTTCAGTTACGTGTGCACAACCTCATTGTACATGTACGCTACATTAGCTTTATCTATCTACAGAATGGCAACGACCATCTTCTCTGTTCAAAGACCTGTGATGATGAGATGAGAACTGAACACTGGTGAATTTTGCAGTTCTGAATGAAGCACTGAGTTAATACAAACTGTGTTTATTATTTCCTGCTCATGGGTCTTTTCACAGATCCTTGTTCTCTTCAACTTTCTTCTCGGCACTTGACATTTGAACCACTGGTGTTTACTCAGTTTGAAGCAGAAGGCTTTGTGCACATATTTGTCACTCCAGTTGGCATGCCAGGCTCAAACCAAAGATGAAACTCAAAGCCCATTGCAAAGACCATTAAAATGGTAATGAAACATCCAGAGACACAGGACAATGTGATCCTTTGCCTCAATGTGAGGATGAGGTATGCTGCCTTAAATAAGGTCATTTATCACACATTACACTATTTATTACATAAATTGTGGACATTACAAATACAGTTGCTCATGTTTACATTAAAAGAACTTAAACCCAAATCCATCAACTCTTGATAATCAAACCTTTGCATCTAAGAATGTCCTTAGTGGTCTGTTGTGATACAATAGTTACTTTAGTAGTTTCAGAAGCTCTACCACTCAATCAACTGTTATTGATTACTCTCTATATCATAATAGGGTTTTCTGATACAAACTGACTCCTGGAAGAAGTTTATTTTTGTGGCATATATTCAGAAACAAAATGTCAAGTTTCATAAAGATCATTTCTTTCAAATTATAGCATGTGCTTTGACCGTATTTACCCCCTTCCTGACCTCTTGCGTTCAGTCTTTAGTGTCTCCTCTCCTTCTCCATCTGCTAGTCTTCTCAATTCTTTCATTCTCCTTCCTGTTTTCATGTCATACATACAAGCACAGAGAGAGAGAGAGAGAGAGAGAGAGAGAGAGAGAGAGAGAGAGAGTTTATATTTTTATAAAGAAGTCTGGAACCACAAGTGAGAAAAAGCATGCAATGTTTTTCTTTCTGCTTCTGACTTACTTCATTTAATATGTTGATATTCAGTTACATCCATTTTTCAGGAAATGGCATAATTTCAGTCTTTTTCACAGCTGAATGAAATTCCACTGTTGATCCAATTTGCTTTATCCCATTGCCTTCTGGACACCTCAACTGATTGCATAACTTGGCTACTGTGCTCAGTAAACATGGCTACGTGAGGGTCTCTGTGGTGTACTGACTTAGCATTCTTTGGGCTTATACCCAGAAGGGGTGTAACCAACACATGATAGTTTTAATTCCAGTGTTTTGAGGAAACTTCATGCCAGTTCTGAAAAAAAAAAGTATTAACTGAAAGTAGAAATGGAGAGAGCATTCAATCAGAACTTCTCACTAAATTTTGTAGCAAAGAATTAGTCAAGAATTATATACTATCATGGAGTTTGGAGAAATTAAATCTACCCAGTAAAAGCAGGTTGTTAATATTGACTTACCAAACCATGAACCACTTTGCCTATAAGAGCTACCTGCTTTCATAATTTAGATTGCTCAAGTTTTTGCCCCAATTATTTGGATGTTTTAAGACACTCTGTGCTCTCTATGAGGAAAAGTCATGATAAAGAAGTCAGGTCTGTTAGCTAGATTCCTTCTTACAAAATATTTGTGTTTCTGAAGTTTCAGACCAAACATTCTATTTCAGCCAAATTAAGTCAGATTCACTCTTTATGAGAAATTGCATTCAATCAACCAAGTGATGATTTCCATCATCACCCCTTTCTATCCCCTCAGAAACAGAGTCCTTTACAAGCTTTATAATTCAGGCACATATGTTATAGAGCTCTGCTTTAGTGGAGTGTTCTGCTCTAGGGCTCATCTGTGCAGAGATGAGAAGGCAAATAAGAAAGCACCATTCCACCCACAAGATCCTAAATTTCAAACTCACCACTGAACTGTGGGAAGTGAAACTGTTTTCACTGTTCCTAAACTGAAATGTGAGTTGGTAGATCTCTGAGTTGGAGGACCACACCTACCCTTGTCATTTTTCCCAAAACTCTCCTTGGTTTCTATGAAGGAAAAAAAAAAATCAGATACCCTTGTGGGTCTCTGAACAGAAACCACAGCAAAAGACAAACTGAGTCATGGCTGCATTAAACATTCTCCAGACTGCTAGTTGCTCTCTGGTGAAAAAAAAATTAGGGAGAACAAATCTTTGCAAACTGCCCTAATCACAGGCTGGTGTCAAGCAAATCCATTGTGAACCGAGTCCTTTCTTCAAGTAAGAACAGATTTGCAGAGCATCATGAGAACTGAGAACGGATATGCTGAAAACTGACAGTTTAACCTAGTAAAGGAAAAGCAGGGTCCAAAGCTAAAAGGTTATCCCTTCGCTGATGCAGACGCTCAGTCATGAAGCAAAACAGAGGAAGTGGAATCCCACATTCACTCCCTCCAGCTCCGAGCCTGCCTTCTCCTCCTTTGCTGTTGTCCCCTTGGTCATACTTAGAATACAAACTGCACAAAGCTCCGAGCCTTCTTACAAAGGAAGATGCTCACTGGAAGGGGAAAAAAATCATGACCATGCTGATTGAAAATGATCTTATTGAAAACACTGTTTATGTGAGAGGGTAATGTAGCTAGAGTTTTCCTGCCTGGCCCACAGTCAGGACAAATCTCTCTCACCTGCCAGTCCCACAGCCGCTCAAACCCGACCAAGTAAACACAGAGACTTATATTGCTTACAAACTGTATGGCCATGGCAGACTTCTTGCTAACTGTTCTTACAGCTTAAATTAATCCATTTCTATAAATCTATACCTTGCCACATGGCTCGTGGCTTACCGGCATCTTCACATGCTGTTTGTCATCGTGGCAGCTGGCAGTATCTCTCCGACTCAGTCTTCCACTTCCCAGCTTTATTCTCCTCCTTGCCCCGCCTACACTTCCTGCCTAGCCAATGGCCAATCAGTGTTTTATTTATTGACTAATCAGCAACACATTTGCCATACAGAACATCCCACAGCAGGGTAAGTTATATAACAATAGAAAAAGGACTGGAAAAGGATGAGATGACTCAGTTAATGAAAGATTTGTCTTGTAAGCATGCTGACCAGAGTTGAATCCCCAGAAGCTATATAAAAAGCTGGGCATGGTGACACGCACCTGTAATGCCAGCAGTGGGGAGGTGGAGACCTGGGGAATCTCTGGAACTTGCTGTAGCCCGCCTAGTCTGCTCTGAAAATGCCAGGTTCCTGGGAGAGGTCGTACCTCAAATGGCAACGTGGAGAGTGACTGAGGAGGGACACCTGAACTTGACCTCTGACCTCCACATATAGGTACACACGTGCACCTATATTTTAAAACGAATTGAAACAATATAAACCATAATACATACACATATTTTGGCAATGTTTTTGAAAGTTTGTGATTTAATACTGTCTTATTTGTAGGGTCAAGTTGGGTATGGAGCACATTTAGACATTGATCAGAACAAACTGCAATGCAGCAGTAGCTATCAAGCCCTTTTAATTAGATTTTGTATTGTGATCCAGTAAATACATGTACATCCAATTATATAAAGTAGATCATTCTATATTTTATCAGGTATATCACACTTACCTGTTACAATTTCTCTGTTCCAGTTGCTGACTCGCCCGTTCCCCTCCCTCCCTCCCTTTCTTCCTTTCTTCTTTCCTTCTCCCTTTCCTCCCTCTCTCCTTCCCTCATTTTTCTCCATACCCTCCCTTTCTCCATCCTTCCCTCCCTCTTCCTCCTCGTCCTTCTTCCTCAGTACTCACAAATGCCCACTAGAGCAATTTCATAATCCACAACTTTACATCCACTGTGAAAAGATGCTGAGACCATCTATTCATATGACTCCCTCTGCCACTACTGCTGGCCTGTGTGACATCTATAAGGTTCACAGCCCCTCTGAAATTGGGTTCTATAGTCTAATGTTGCAGGAAATAGGAAAGGAGAAGGTGAGGCAGGGATGGACCAGTGGATCTCATCTTTTCAGACCCAGACTCTCTGGTGAGGAGAGTGATCATTACTAAATCCCAGATGTTCACATGAACACAGCCACAGAACTCTTCATGGGACAAAAAGAGAGTCCTGAGACTATTTCCATAAACCACTGATATCTATACACATCTTTTGTAGTGCTGTGTACGGAACCCAGAGACTTGCACATGTTAGGCAAGCATTCTATCACTGAGCTACATTTCCAGCTTGATATACACGCTCTTGATCAGAATGAAGACAATTTGGTACACTTAACATTTTATGCAACTGTCCAAGCTCTATGGAAGATGACTGAGTATAATCTTCACATTTAGTTCACTGAGAATGAAGACGAGGGGCAAATGGTGTTTGTCTTACATGGACCTACTCTAGGAATCAGCAGAGGGTTGACTGTTGTGACCCGGAAGCAAACTTTTCAAACATGTGAGTAACAGTTTCTGCTTCCTGCAAACTTTAGGTAGCAGTCTGATAGCATTCTGAAACTGCACCTACCCAGCCTTAGCTACATCAGACCTGTCCACTCTTCCACTTCTCAGAAAGAAAAACAGAGGCTGGAGGAGGGCCAACGTCAGAAACACACCCCACTCTGTGATCACTGCTGCTGCAGGGCAAAAACAATATGGCCAATGTCTTTTCTCCCAGCAGGCCACAGGAATCAGGTCTCTCCTAACTTTGTTTATTGAATTTTCAGACATCAAGATGAACAATAAAACTTTTTTTTTTACATCAGAGGGGTCGAATGATGATTAAATTATTGAAATATTTATGACTGCCCTAGCACTGCTCAAAAAGCCTTTGTCTTATGCCTTCTCTCTCTCTCTCTACATATATATATATATATATATGTGTGTGTGTGTGTGTGTGTGTGTGTGTGTGTATGTGTGTGTATATGTGTATGTGTGTGCCTATATATATACATATATCCTAATATATATTAATCACATCCATATGCAACCATATATTTATATATGGATGTTATTAATAAAGCAGGGGCCTTTGTACAGGTGATAACTTAATGACTGAATTAAAATAGTTGAAAGTGAACTGGGGTGTCAGTCAGCAAGCCTGAATGCTTTGGATCCTTGGCTTGCATTCCCAGTACCAAACCAATACATAAACAAGTGGCACACATTATACGTTCTACTTTATAGCACTGTAATGCAAGTCGTTTTTTCTTTGTGTGTGAGTGTTGAGAGGGGAAAATGTGCATACATGCTTGTGGAAGCCAGAGGACAATGCTGTCCATCTTTCTGAATCAAAGTCTCTCATCCTGAAGCTCATCCATTCAGCTAGCAGGCCTGTCTGTCTCTTTCTCCCCATGACTGAGATCCCTAGCACATTCCATCACCTCTAGCTTTTTTTAAAAAAAAAAAAAAGATGTATTTTATTTTTAATTATGTGTATACTGTATGTGTGTGGCTGTATGTAGATATATGCAGATGAGTGCAGGTTCCCACAATGACCAGAAGAGAATGTCAGATCTTCCAGAGGTAGAGTGATAAGCACTTATGAGCTACCCTGTGTAGGTGCTAGAAGCCAAACTCCAGGCCTCTGCAAGAGCAGTATGCATTCTTAACCACTGAGTCATTTCTCTAGATCCATGCCTGGCTTTTTTCATGGTTCTGAGGATCAAGCTTGGGTCCTCATGCTTACGGAGGACGCATATAATCAACCGCACCATCCCTGAAACCTCTTTCCTCATTTGTCTTATATTAGCATGCTGTCTTATGAGCCCCTCTGTCCTGTGTGTCCAGACTCCTGCAGAGAGAAAGACTGTTTACTTCCTCTCTCAGTGCTATGCACTGTGCTAGCCACCCACTGGGCCTCATTTGTGTGCAATAAATTGAATTTTTTTTAAAGAAAGAGGCAGCTTATTCCCTATTCTTTTACAAAATATTTTAATATCTTCATCTGACACCAAGTAAACTTCTCCATAACATAAACTGGGTGGTTGCTCTTGAAATTGCTTTGTAGAGAGCAATGGTTTTTATTAATGAAAATACATCAAAAATACTAGAACTCAGGCAGAGTTTCACAGCCTCTGTGGGCTCAAGACTGCTAAATGCCAGTCAACTGGAAGTCTAAATATTGGAAAAACTTTAATTGGAATGATAATTTAACAATGAAATGAAGTAATGAAGTCAATCAACCTAGTCACCATTCTATGCCTTTCTTTTGTCCTGGTTGTGCTAAGGTCCTGAGTTCAGAGGCAGAGAGCTATGAGCACCCAACTGGCTGGCCCTCTGCCTGTACATCAACACGTCATCACAATTTACTCCCGAGACCGTGAGCACTCATTCACCAGAGATATTGTGCAACCCATGAAGTTACTGTAGCTTTTTTACATGCCCCCCCCCCCATTTGATGCATCCTCTCTGAGATCACAAGATAAACTGAAGAAATCATAAGTCACACTCCAGTGGCCTTGACTCTTCTTTGTTCCTTCACCATCTAGGTGATGTCTTCAAGCTTTCCATGAGGCTCTGATCTTCCCCAGCCAGGCCTTCCTCTCCATACTAGCCTCCCAAGTTCATGCATCTGAGCTCATAGACTGGCTGAACTGGGCTACACATAGCATCCAGTCTTTCCAGGAATTACTGATACTGTAATGTCTCATCCTTAAATCCTCCTTAGCATTAATAGTGAGCTTGCACTGTATGTGCCCCTAAAGAGGCCTTTTCATAGCTGAACCCCAGAGCCCCTGCACATCTCAGGGCCCCATCAAAAATATTAAAGGTGCTGAGTTTTCCCTTGGTTTTCACGCTCACAGAAACTGAAGAGGAATTCCATACTCCAATCTACAGTGTGGAAAACCCCAGTTCTTGTCTGACTTCCATGGTGAGAGAGGAGCATAGACTCTTTACTCAGTAAGGGGCAATGCATCATTTATGCCTTAGTGTCTCTTAAAGGCAATGTTTTAGCTTATGAGAGTGAACCAACAAGTAGAAATACCTGGCCCCCAAGGCGAGAAAAGGAACAATCTGCAAGTATGTTTTCAGCATGTGTCACAGTTAACCAGGTAGACACTTGTCGGCTCTTGGTAACCTCAAGTTAGCTCTGCAGCACACAATACTTTCGAAGTTAAAAGTCTGGCTCCTTAAAGGGAGAGAGGCTTTAAGAACTAGGTCAGCTCATGTGAATGCTTTGCCAAGCTAAGTGGTTGAGGATGGCCTAGTTTGGAGCATCTGAATGCCTGGGATGCAAAGGGTGGATAAATATTCCAGTCTCTTTAAGTGCTTTGAGACCCACACTTCATGAGACTTCTTTCAATAAAAGATTTTGTTTATCGTGAAAGCAAAAGGACATGTTATTGACTTGACAGCAGATTAAGGCTATTAAGAAAAGTTGCTACAGTGAAGAGCCCAGGCCTTGTAGTGATGGTGGAATTACAAGGGATGACTAAGTAGAAAGCGCTGAAGGACAGGATGTATCATCACTTCACTTACATCAAGCACCCTGCAGGTGATGACCTCACCAAGCAGGAGAGAAGGCCCAGCTGCAAGCTATGGACATAAAAGGAAGGAAGAAAAAGCAACTGAGAATTCACAAAATAAAATACACAAAACACAATAAAAGTGATGAGCTTGGAGGTGGGTCCTTATGTACTATTTGAGGATAGCTTTAAACTCCAAGGTGTAAATTTGAAAGAAAGGGAGGAAGGAAGGAAGGAAGGAAGGAAGGAAGGAAGGAAGGAAGGAAGGAAAGACTGGGGGTGGAGAAATGGATCAACAGTTAAAAGCACATACTGCCATACAGCTTTTTGTTGTTGTTGTTGTTGTTGCTGCTGTTTATTTGTTTGTTTGTTTTGAGACAGGGTTTCTCCGTGTTGTTTTTGTGCCTGTCCTGGATCTCGCTCTGTAGACCAGGCTGGCCTCGAACTCACAG